TTGCATATGCTTATTGACCATTCATATATCTTCTTTGGAGAAATGTCTTTTCAAATCCTTTGTCCATTTTTTAATTTGGTTGTCTTTTTATTGAGATATAATAGTTCTTTATTCTAAATACTAGACTCTCATCAGATACGTGCTTTTGTCTTTTCATTTCCTTGATATTGTCCATTGAATCACAATGTTTTTAATTTTGACGGAGTCCAATTAATCTTTTTTTTGGTTGCTTGTGCTTTCTGTGATGGTGTCATATATCTAAGAAACCTTTCCTCATCCAAGGTCACAAAGATTTACAACTATGTTTTCTTCTAAGAGTTTTATAGATTAACTCTTAAATTTAGGTCTCTGAGTCTTTCTTTATTTCACACTATATACAAAAGTTAACTTCATTCTTTTGTACATGGATACCCAGTTTTCAATTTTTGATGGAAGGATTATTTTTTCCCTATTGAATTATCTTGGCACCCTTGATGAAATTCAGCCGACTATAAATGTGTGGGTTTATTTTGGGCCTTTTTGTAACATTTTAGTGCTCATTAGATGGCTGTTCTAATTCTTTATATTGGGTCTTCATATTGGCAGATATTGCTAAGATATACATCTTAACAGGTGGATAGACCTGTTAAGCCATTCCTCCTTACAGAGCTAATAAGGTGCTCTCAGCTACTAAGACTCCATTCTCAGGTCAAGGTGATTTTTACTCTTGGGCTATGAAAAAAATATGGGCTTTATTCATATGCTTATGGATTTCTATACATCACATTCTTTGCCCTAAGTATAGTGTGGCTTGGTTTTGTATAAGAATGATTCAGTCTTCTGGTGTCTGTGGTCTGGAGGTTTAAGAGTTAAACAAGCCAAATCATTTATCAGAGTCTAGCGAAGACCTAATGTGGTGTGCCCGTTGCTGGGCAACATTTTAGTGGCTGCCCATGATGTGTTTCACTGTTGGTAAATCTCCTAGTAAACCTATAAGTGGGTTTGAACAGTTTGAGTCCCCATTTTCCTTCTCAGCTGGTTTGTTTCAGCCTTTGTCTCCATCCAACTTGTGCCCTGAAGCCAGGTCCTCAGGATCACGCTGTGTCCCTCTGCAACCTTTATTGGCAAAGCTGAGAAATGTCTAATCCATAACCTCCATCAAACTGACTCATTGTGACAGCTATTTTCACAAACCTCCTGCTGTATCAGGTAGGGCTGAGATCGTTTTTCTAGAATATGTCATCTTATTAATATAATTGGATAAAGCAGTTACCATATGACTTGATTTCTATGCCCTATAAATTAGCAATTAAAGATAATTACCGCATCCATGAAAGTTTGCAACATGAATCAGTACCGCTTTGGCAGAACAATTACCTGTGACAGTTTCCTCTCAATCTTAATATTCTTCTGAAATTAAAATTCTGCTAAACAAATGATAAATTTTACTTTGTATGTTTATCATTTTTCTGTCTCCTCTCCCAGTAGAATGTCAGCTCTCTAAGAATAGACATTTTTTGTCTTTTATTTTACTAAAGGGTGCCACTTACCTAGAACAATGCCTGGCATATAGTAGGCTCTCAATAAATTTGCGTTGAATTAATAAATATGATTCAATCACTGAATAAAACTATGACAGTAATCTGCTGGGTGTCACATTTTCACAGAGGACAAATGACTCGTCTTAGTGCCATGCGAGACGTTAGTTTGATATATAGACCCTTGGTTTTTTTCATATTTTACTTAAAGACATTTTAAATATTTTTTACCCTAGAAGCCATTTCTCCTTGGCTTTATTTGATGGAGAACCTTAGATAAGAGAAAGTCATTAAAATATTTTGGAGGAAGAACTCGTGTGAAGACTATTGACAAGTAAAGTAGGTAGAGGGAGTTGAACAGTATTTGGAAGATGAAATGGATATAGCAGAAAGGAGGTGGAGTGTGTTTCCAACTATTTCTGTTCCTATAAATAGTAGGAAGGAAACCAGTTCTTCCATTATAGACCAATCTCCCGTCCGTAATGGTCTACAGACAGAGTATTTTCATACCTCTGCCAAGGCTATGGCCAAATGAAGGGGGGAGAGTTTCAGAGGAAAGATATACATGTGTCATGTCTTTCCTCCTGGGGGAAAAGGAATAGCAGTGTCTGCCACATGAGTAGCTCTTCTTGTTGCTTAGGAAGTTGAATTGGTGCCTGCTGCTTGGTGTTTTGTATATTTAATAGCATAAAAGGTGTGGAGCAGCCTATAAAGTAAAAGTCATTTCTCTTCAAAAATGTTAATTTGAGCATTACTGTTGTCTGAGTGGCATTATTTGGTGCAGTAGCGTAAAGAGGTTCTGACAGCAGTTTTAGAACAGCATTCAGAGAGAGAGGAGGGTGTACAAAGGAAGTTTTGCAAAATTCCCATGTACAAGTTGTTCGCCAAAGCCCTTAAATGGGGCCGGGGTAGTAGTAACAGACCCACTGTCCTTCTAGGACCTAGTGTACTAGGTAGAGGCATTAGAGGTGACACCTGATACTTAGAGGAAAAGGGGATTTCTTTTCATCAGTCATTCTGTTGTTGAGATTTTCAGTGGCTTTCATCAGACTTGAGAAATAAGGATTATTTCTTAGCCCGGGTCAGTGCTCACTTAATCAGTTTAACATGATCAGCCAAGGTGAGTTTTCTTGTGAACGGTCCTTAGCTGGGAGTTCTGTCAAGGTAGAGCCCTGCGGTAGACAAGACCGTGGAGTTCTCTGCAGTCCTTGGAAAGGAAGCCGAATCGAAGGAAGGAAGGGGTACGAAGGGCCTACCAAGCAGTGCTGGCTCTCCTGGGAGTGCTCTATTAGTTTTTGTGAAAACTTGACTAAAACTGAGGAGCAGGCATTGGAGATGGAGGCTCTGGTTTTTTTCTCTTATGTAGCTGGACTCTCCTCAGCCCTGTTTGGAATTGGTGCATGAATGGTTTCAAGTGCAAGTATTCTACAACATGTTATTTTTGCTTCACCACTCCTGAAGAATTAACTATAAATGAATTAGATCCAGGCTTGCTCTTTTTTCCCTTTGGCCGTCTCATTTCAGGAACATCAAGCATCCTCTGCCCTAGAATACCTGTTCTTTCCTGGCTTTGCTTTGTTTGAGAGCCTGTCTTTTTAGAATGTCAGTTCCCTGGGTTGATGCTCAGGGCATGGGTTCTCAGGAAAGGCTGTTTGCATGGAAGCTGTAGATTTTAATTGCTGGTCACACTTGATCAGAAATGATAAAAATGAAGAGCATGGCTTGTAACGAGAAGACAGTCTTTTATTATATGTGTCATGGTGTAACCAGGGAGGAGGCATTTAGACCAAGGTCTGTGTGCCAAAGGTATTGGGGACACTGAGACATTAATCAGAGCACTATTTTTAAATTGGAATGTGTATATTTGTCGGATAGAGTTTCTGTAAAAATGTAGTAGAATGGATAAATGAATTGTGGTGTATTCCTACAAAGGAATATATATGTACAGCTGTGAAAGTGAATAAACTAGCGTCTAGTGTTTTATATCAACATGAATGAGTTTTACAAAAAAAAACTAAGCAAAAGAAGGAAGTCACGATGGATACATGCAGTAGACTCAGTTTATATAGACTCCAAAAATAGGTAAAATGAAATCGTATTCCGTAGAGATGTATACCTAGCCTGCAAAACTGTACGGAAAAGCACGGGAGGTATTATCACAATGGTTAAGATACCGGTGGCAGTCGGGAGAAGGAAGTGGCCATTGGTAGAGAGGGACACCGAGGGAATCCAGGGTCTGGCAGTGTCCTAGTTCTTAACTTGGGTAGTGGTTACTCAGTTGTTATTCTTTAACATGCACACGTATGTTTAAATGCACTTTTGTATTTATATTAATATTTCACAATTTAAAGCGTTAGTTAAGGTGGAGAGGTGACGGAGAATTGTCAGCTAAGCACGTGTGTAGGGATGGTTTCTCCCTTTGAGTTGGCTTCCTTTCCAAAGAAGAGAACTCCACCATCTTGTCTACCACGGAGCTCTCTCTACCTTGACAAGACTCTCCAACCTTCTGTCTACTAAATTTTTAGCAGCCTTTTTTTCCCCTCAGAAATTTATTCAAATTTAGTAACAGAGAGTAATAGGTAAATTTCTAAAATTTTCCAGATACTGTTAGCTTTTCTTGTTTTGAAGCATGGAAATGAATCTGTCAGATCTAGTGAAGCCGGGGCTCGAGCTCACCTGCTGGTTAAATCATGCCTTGCTGAGCAAAGACAACTTGAATAGCTTGGGTGATGTTTATCATTTATGCCTTCTCTTCTCCCACTTGAAATCCTCCTTTCTTCTCCCCTGCAAATACTGAAAAGTTAAATACCAGCGTGCTTCAGAGCTCTTTTCACAGTTTCAAGGGGGTTCTATGCCTGGTGCCTTTGATTAGAGAGATGAAAGGAGCTACTTAAGGCTTGGGAGCCTTAAGATGCTTCTTAGATTCTTCTGTTTTAATCGTCTAGAACATGGGTTTTCTAGATTCTGTATTCCTCTCTTCGCCTAAACTATGAGTGCTGTCTGTGACAGAAGCGTGCGCATGTGCTCTGGCTGCGCTGCTCTTCCAGGTGCTGTGTAGGGCCTTCTTCCTCCAGTTTCCCCATTTCTTGGGCCTTCCATTGCTTACTTGTGCCCTCAAATGGAATGTGTGGATGGAGACATCAACATCCGAAAAACTGAACAGAACACAGGTAGTGGTGCTTGCTGGGATGAAATCACAAAGGTTCTTAACCTCCACATCTCACGTGCTCTTTACCCCAGCCTGTTTTTTGACTTTTCTATCATTTGTTTAATTCCTACTTTTATTTCTGGGTCTCTCTCACTCAAGTTTTGACATGGGGATTTCTCTTATAAAACTAAAGACAATCTCGTTCATTTAGTCACTCAGCAAGGTGCCAGGTACAGTACTGTTTTAGATGTTGGGGATACAGTATCGAACAATCTATATTATGGTGCTGTTATCTCTAGACCGATGATTTTCTTTTTTTTCCTCCCCACACTCAGGTCCTTTCAGGGTGTGCCATCATCGTCAGAGGGCAGCCTCGGGGGGGCCCTCCCCCCGAGAGGCAGATCAACCTCAGCAACATTCGAGCTGGAAACCTTGCTCGCCGGGCGGCTGCCACACAGCCAGATGCCAAAGATACCTCGGATGAGGTAGGTGCTTCTGAGGCCTCCCTGAGGCTGTGGGCCCAGGTTACCACCCAGACTCCTCCTCTACTGATACAAAGTTGATCTACTCTTTCTTTTCTGTATATTATGAGTGTTCGTATCACAGGACTAATGACTCTGGACATACCCACAGTGACATCCGTCAGTGGGTACATTTACCACCCTTAGCAGTGAGCCCAGGCTCGGAGCTTTTTCTCATACCGTTTTCCCTAGGCTTAGAGCCTCTTCGGGTTTGCTGGTATTTTCAATCTTCTGTCTCTTGGAAGAGGTTAGCACATTTCGTAGGTAGTCTTGGCCATTTATGTTGGCATTGGTTATGGCAGAGCGCTTTTATTAATATATGTTTGAATTCTCCACTCACGTTCAAAATTCAGAAGGATAGTCAGTGAAAAATCTAGTTCTCCTTCCCAAGGACTACTGATGTTATTGCTGTCTTGTGTCTTATTCCAGAGACAATTATTGCCTATCCAAGCAGACACTCTTTTTCTTTTGTAAAAGTTTGTGTAAACATGAATTTTTAAGGGAGGGAGCTTTTATCAGTTTCTCAAGACAACTTGTGGCTTAGTAGTAGTTAAGAACCACTATGTTATGGCAATTTGAGAGACTTCTGAGTTCTTGCTCCACTGTCCCCTCCGTTCCCCTGCCCCTAGTGCCTGGCCATCTAGCCTTTGTGGTCTGCCTTCAGGTCTTTCCTCTCCAGGCAGCCGCTGAGTCCTAATTTGACATTGTTTAGTCATCTTGGCTCTTATTTGAAACACCAGCTCTTGGCTCTCCTTTAGTTGTGCTTTGGCCATCAAAAATGAAATTTCTGGATTCTAATTATTTGTCCTTTACCCCAACTTGATGATGTTGGGCGAGGTGGTACCTCAGCTTTCCTCTGCTATTCTGTGACACAGAAATGAAGAAGAAAAAGCACCTGGTGGGGATCTTTTATTTAAGGAAAATGTTTAGTTTTTTTCATCTGTATTTTCTTGAAGTATATGATAGCTATAATATAGGGTATTTTGTTGAATTAAGATAGTGAAGCAATGTTATAGACAATAGAGAAAGATCCCCCCAAATTCTGCTATCAATAGCAATTAGATTCTTGGGAAAATGACTCAGTAGATTAAAATCAGTTCTTTTTCATTGGTCCTCTCTCAGTGAGCACAAATATTGGAAATAGCAAAGTGCTTAGCAAATGCCTAGAAAGTACTTAATAAATCTTAGTTGTGGTAATCACTAGTGTTATTTGTTGATTTCTGCTTTTATAAATACTCCTAGTACTGTTAGACCAAGTACTGAAGATTAAATCTCTCTCAGCACTTTTTAGATTTTGGGTGCTAAGTGGTTTTCTTGACCAACATTCTGAATAGTTCTTCCATTTGTTTGTTGAGTAACAGCTTTTCTGCTTCTGAGCGGAGAAGAATGTTGACCCTGGCTGGCTAGAGCCGATCAAGTTCATTTCTCCAGAAGGAAGAAGCAGTATAGACTCTAGGAAAGAAGGGTTTTAATTTCCTGTTTTGTGGATGAGAATCTAGGGCAGAGAAACATAAGGACAGTTGGAGCTTGTTCTAAAATATCTTAACTGTATTCTATATAACAGTACAATAAAATCTTACCAGAACTATCCTCGCTGAGAGAATCCCATGGAATATGATCCCAGCTTTCATTTTAGTTTCAGATATTTATACAGTCTAGTGCTTTTTGATTCTTCCAGAGCAACTCAGTCTCACTAAGTTTCCCTTGGTAACTCTCAAAGGTCCATGTGACATGAAGTATTTGATAGCTGTAGATTTCACCCTTTCTCAGCCACAGTCACTGTTTCTCTGTCTTAACAATCCAGTCCCTCCTTGCCCTGCTGCGGTCTGGTTTTTTTTACCAGACCCTCGAAGCTGCTCTGGCTCAAGTTAGCAGTGACTCCAGCTGGTAACTCCAATCAGAAACTCGATTTCCCGCGCTCTTGTTTCAGCCTCTCCCTCCTCACCCACCAATACTCAGGCCTTTATCAAGACCTAGAGATTTTTCCTCCTTAAAACCTCCCTTCTCCAACCTTGAAACTTCATTACTACTCCTGTTTTTCTTTGTTCAACTCTGGTAGTGTGCTTGGGATGTTGAAATAATCTCTTTGCCTTCATTCTCCTCCTTTCTAATCTTTTCTTTATGTGCCCCAGATCTCTTTGAAACAATCTTATTGATTCCCTTTCTTGTGTCATTCCCAGATACTTCAGCTGTTCCTCATTTCCCCTGTGACAAATCTAAATGCCTTAGCGGGGATTCAAGCCCATTTGTGTTTTGACTTAGTTTTTTCTTTCTGAACCCCCTCTGGCATGCTACGTTTCAGCCACGCTGAAGTATTCAGGTCTTTTAAGAGCCACTTGAGTCCTGCCTGCTCATGCCTTGGCTCATGCCACTCCCTCCGTCGGGAGCTCCTTCTTTACCTGTGCCCTGTGAACACCTAGCTCTGAAGATTCTCCTGCTGAGAAGTCAGCTGACCTCTTTCATTGTCTCATTTTCATGCTGTCATAGCATCCATAACATTTCATTCCATGTTTCTATGTCTTGCTCTACAAAAGAGCAAACTCTTTGAGAGGAGGGACCTTCTCTCTCATCTCATGCCTAGTCAGTGCCAGACATAAAGCAGGTATGCAGTGAATACACGCTTAAGTGAATAATGAGGAAAAGAATCTGAGCATCTCTTTTTTGAGGGGATCAGCAGATTGTGCAATGTGACATTGCCCTCTCTGGCTTTCCAAATTGTCTGATATTTTCACATTCAGATAGAGTCAGGAACATTATTGCTCATTTGCTTCCCTTTGTTTCACTGTCCCAAATATCATTCACTGCCTTCCCTCCTGATGTCTTTTTTCACAGAAACTCAGCTCTCTCCTAAGTCCTATGGCAATAAAAGCAGCTCCATGGTATGTCCCCAGCTGTCACTGCCCTGTTGCAGGCTAATCCCCCAGCGTTGCCTAGCTACTCTAGGCACCCTGGATACTGCATTGATGGTCACCGTGGGAATTATATATTTATTTCCCACAGATTTATTGAGTTCCTGTTATGTGTGAAGCTCTACGTTGGTTTCATGAGAAATATAGAAGTGAATGTCACAGTCCTCTGTCCAGTGGAGCTTTTGAGAATTGGGGTGCAGAGAGGTATTAGTTATATGTACAGGTGGGACAGTGGAATGATTAGAAGAGAAGGAGGGACAGGACATATTAAATGTTGGTCCGTGTACAAAAGTAGTTAGCTTTATGGCTTTACATTGTTGGGGGATTTAATCTTGTTCTAGTATTCAGGGGTCTGTCATGTCCAAAGAAAAGATTAGAATTACAAAATCCGTTTCATCATGGCAGACATCAGAACCTTGCTTAGGTCTGGGAGCACAGAGCAAGCTGCTAGATTGCCTGCTGTTGGGCATTCTGTTGGGCATTCTAAAGGGAACAGGGAATTTTGAATCCCAACTACTTAACAGCCATTTGCTTCTTAGATGGAGCTCTGGGACATCATTTGGGCAGACCACACTTATTTTTCCTGATAGGCTGTGCTGACCTTATTTGATAAATAAATGCTTTAAGCAGATTTTCCTATACTTGACTCTTATTGTTTTGAGAGGCTCTGTTGGGATGGTCTTCACCATCAGGTAGCCTTCTGCTGGCTGCCTGTGTGAACGCTTGTACAGAGATTCTCTCCCGAGTGCTCTGTTGCTCTGTTGCCCTCATGAGGAGTGAGGCGGTCAGTCACTTTCCTGAGTCTCCTAATTGCCTTTTGTCATATAATATCTTGTTTAGTTAATTTGCCCAACCCCAAGTGGAACACAACTTGAGAAGGCTGGTTTAAGAAAGGATGATTACAGAAGCTAGATATTTTTTCTTATAAAATTAGGTATATGTTTTTTTCAAGTCCTCCAGCATGACTTTCTCTTTTAGCCCAGTGACCAGCTATAAAATGCAAGGTCCTTAGGGAAGGGTGCTCCTTCAGCAAGCTCTAAAAACTTTTAGGAATTCTGCTTAGTTGGTAGATATTGGAGGTTTTCCCATGAGGGCTAGATATTTCCTTGTGAACTGACCCTTGATAAATGAATTTTTACCAAAGTCTTGGCTTCCTTTAAGAGTGCTTGTCTCATTGGAGCTGTTCCAAGTGTCAGGAAGGCAGAGTGTTACTGAATTTTAGATATTAGTATGGCACTCAGAAATAAATCGTAGACATTAGATCTGATGCTGAAAATGTTTTTAGAGTAAGTGGATCACTAAGTTAATAAAAATGGTAGGAGCCTATGTTAACTTGACTCAGTAGTGTTTCTGTGATTGTTTGATAATTGGGCTTACTTATCAGTTATCAGACTCTTTTGGTGTTTTCATTTCTAGGAGTGAGCAAGGGGTAGAAATGGGCCATAAAAATATGGTAAGCTCTGTGTTGCCATTGGATGATTGAGTCTTTTGCTTATTGGTGTGTGGAGAAGAGAGCATTAGATGCGTTAGTATCAGCTTGTTTTTGTGTCTTCGAGAGCACTTACCCACATTAAGTTCTTCCTAGAACCATCCACAATTGATATCATATAACAGGACCAGTTTTATGAACACTAGCCCAGCAGGTCGCTTGGCTTTTGGTTTCTGGGAAGTCATATGGATGTTTTTCTTCTTGAAAAGCTTGTTGGATAATCTTCATGGGCTGAAAAGGTCAGCAGGGGGTTCCTTTTCAGGCCATGGATGTACCGTTGTGCCTTTGTCATGTGTAGGCCGAGTTCTGTAGCTCCATGAGATTATAATGGATAGTCCATGCCTATTGTATACCCCTCTTCCCATTTATACTTTGCATGTTTTCTGCATGTGAGTGCCTGCTGATCATAAACTCCTAGAACTCTTACCCCCTCCTTCCTCATTTCTGTTGTTCTAAGGGAAATTAGGGCACTGAGCTAGGTTCAGACCATAAATTCAAGCACCCGTGGCTGCTGACTGTGACAGGGCTGCTTCAGAGGAGATGTCTCCTTTTGTCTATACCGTCCTAGAAGGGATGGTCTGGGGATAGGTAAAATCATTCCTTTGCACAGTATCTTGAGATCACATGGAGACTCTGCATCCCATTGTATGAATGTGTGGCTCACTCGTTATGTCAGTGTCAAAGCGATCTCTGACCAGAGTCTGTTACCAGTGTCTTCCCCAAGATCTGGGACCTATCTAGGGTCGCGCTGGTACAGCTTCAGACTAGAGTAGTAGAAAAAGAGGAGACATTTTGGGGAGAATAGTTCTTACCCTTCTCAACTCTGTTGGCTATTCTTCAAAAAGGTGGAGGAAATGACATAAACAAGGCTCTTGAGTAGGGAACTCCCTCTGAAGTGATAGCACTAGAACCGTATCCTTATTCCAACAGTGCCTTGAACTGGTTTCAGGCTGGTTTAATAGTCAGTGAGAGTGCTTTGTAAACTGGAAGGAGGCAAGTAAATGGAGGTCAAAGTTGTTGTTTATGACTTCCCTTTGGCTAGGCGAGTTCCTGGAGTCTGGACTTCCCACCCAGGAGCGGGCGGGTTGGTAAATGTAGAGCATTGTGAGTAGTGGGTGACACGTGGTAAGTGCTATAAAATTATTGCAATTATTATTCATCAAGTAAGCTATAACTTTGAATAGACAGTGATGGGGGAAAAAGTACTATTACCAGTGTCTGGATAGCCCTGAGGCCTGTTTTTAGGGCCTGTGCTAGTTAATGACTAGACCCTCATTTTTTATGAGCTCCCTAAGTGTGTGATCTGTTCTGTGTGCATTTCATTTTTATAGTCTCCTCAGGGCCCAGCGCAGGGCCAGAATATTGAAGGAATGAACTTGAATGCTGATTATGGTGGGAAGCTAGACAGTTGTCTTGTGACGTTTGTTTTGTCTTTCAGCCCTGGGCATTTCCTGCACGAGAGTTCCTTCGGAAGAAGCTGATTGGGAAGGAAGTCTGTTTCACGATAGAAAATAAGACTCCGCAGGGGCGAGAGTATGGCATGATCTACCTGGGAAAAGGTGAGTAGCAAGGAGGAAAGGATGCATTTCTCTTCAAGTCTAAAGTTCCTCCAAAGATCACTTTTCATCTGGTGGGAGGTTGGCCGTGCGTACTGGTGGCGGTAGCTCTAGGGCAGTCGGCTGTCGATGTAGTTGGAAGTGCCCTGGGTACTGAAGCCCCTGGCACACAGTGTTGAGAAACACCCCCAATATGCCAGTCCTCGTGTGCTGCTGTGCCTGCTTTCCTGCCTTGGGTTAGCTGTGTTGTACAGCATGCATTCTCCGCTTTGTGTAGGGCTATAGGCCCTTAGCCCGCGGAACTCTGGCTCTGTGTTTCTAGGTCATAGTGCTAATTGAATTCCTGTAGATTTCTGATTGCATCGTCTATTTCCTTTATCTATTTTGTGAGTTTTCTTTTCCTCATGGGGACTCTTTAGGAAAGGAAGATTGGTTTTGGCCTGTGGTTTTTTGAAAGCTATATATTTTGTGATTGAATGGAAAGAATACAAGCTTCGCAGTTGTGAGCCTTTGGGTTAGAATTCTGGCTCTCCCCTCATGAACTCTTACTTAACCCTTAACTTAACCTTTCTAAGCCCTAGTTTATTTGTAAGTTATTAAGAGAGTTTAAAGAGATAGTGTATGTAAGGCACCTAGCTCTGGCACAGAGTGTGTACTCACTCAGTAAGCATATTTTTGTGTGCACACATATGCTGGTGGTTTAGCTGGGCCCCTGGCTCATGAGATATTAGGTGCTCTGATCTTTTTGAGTAAGTAGAGGGAAAGTAAGATTATGGAGTAGAGTTTGAACAGAAATAGGACATTGAAAGACTTGGTACAATGTTCTACCTAAAGCGTAAAATAGTTGTTCATCTGGAATTATTTTGAAAGCAGATAATTTTTTTTTGAAGTTTCCTTGTGTTTCTTTGATAAAATAAGCTTCCCACTGAACTGCATTAGATAATTTATTTGACTTGGGTAGTCAGTGCTGGAAGTAAGCAAGAAGGTAGAATGGCAAGGCTAGCAACATCCCCTTAAGATTCTGATTTTAATTGTAGAGGCCTTAGAAAAACTCGCTGGGCATTGCCTTGGCGGCGTCTTGTAGAATTTACCCTGTGGAGAAACACTACCCTTTTCAGCCTCCCAAACAGATGGCTCTCTGCTTCTTGATTGAATGGGAAGTTAGAAATTTATGGAGTCTTTTCAAAAAGAGAAATAGACATTTGCCTTTTATCCATAATTCAAGTGATATAGTAGGAAATAAAACATTTAAGCATTATCGTTGGGTGGTTACTGGTTAGAAAGAATATGGGATAAATAGAAGCACACTGTCTTCAAAATGCAAATGTTCAAGGATTTTATTACCTAAAAATGCTGATGCAATAACAGCTGGTTAGTCTTCTGTTATCCTGAAGAGACTACACTGGACTGCAGATAATTGCGGGCACAGATATCTCTATAAAGAGCCACGTCTAAGAGTTTGTTTAAATAACCTTGATCTTGAACTAAAATGGTCAAATTAAGAGAATCCGACAAAATGATCTTTAAAGTTGTTTTTCACAAGTTCGTTTTTTAAACTGACCCAAATTACAAGTTGGATGTAATTTAGCAATTAACATACTAATGTTTAGAATAAAACCTGGCACATAGGATCTGATCAATAAATACGTGATCAGTAAATATGTACTGAAAGAATGATTGAAACTACCTACATCTAAAGTTTAATATTTTCACTCAGGTGCTTTAACCAACTCTTAATGCCAATTCTAATGAAAGGAAACAGTCGCTTAGATAAGTAGTTAGTATTCATATATTTACCCTGTTTTGTGGCTGCTCAGTCTTTTTATGATGAGGGAGAAAGGTAAAATTTGAGAAATTGTGGTTAACCTACAACTTATTTAAAAAAGGTGATTACTCTTCCGACTTTTGGAGAAAATAGTCACCTAACTGCTCTTAGTACCATCCCCAATTGTGACTTGGTCAAATTCATAACTCGATATGTAAAAAGAATCAGATACTTGCCCTATGAATTCCATTTTCAATATTCATCAACTGCATTTTGTTGCCTCCTTTGGGAAGTTGGTCTAGAAAAAGGTATTTTTCTCACTTTGAAAGAGCAATCAGAACTCAGTTTTTCGGAGTGGGCCCGCTGACAGCCATTATTAGAGCACTCTGTGCCAAGACAGTGAGAGCTGTCGGCTATGCTTTTGCCAGGTTGGTTTTATGGCCACTCACCTGGTTTGTACCTGGGCTTCATTCATTTGCCCGTGACTCTCGGCCTCTCACTACTCAACTTTCCCCCTAATCATCGACTCTTTCCTTCTGACTTCATTTTTTGGGATTCCTGTTGTTTCGAAAGAACCCATGTAATATTTACTGATGTCAGGTAGCTGTGTGCGTCTGTGTCTGGCCTCAGCAGTAACTTCAGTGGAAAGGTTCTTGTGAGCCACACTTGACCTCAGAACCTGAGCATCCTTTGTATTGTTATCATTCATCTTAACTTTTTCTGGTAAGAAAGAGGCTTACAATTTGCCTCTGCAGAAATTTGGGCATGCTAATGGCAAGGCATTAGGTTGGATTTGGGGGTGGGTGGGTTTACTTGTTATTGCTTACAGAAGTTATTGTATAGTGTACTGAATATAAATCTTACAGAATTTTGTTCTGTGCTGACATTACCTCTCTGCTAGACTGCTGTGTTTCAGTTTGTCTAGGAGCTTGTTCTCTGCTGTATCAAAGATCTTTATGCGGTGATTCTCTCATAGATGTCTTCCTTTATCATTTAGACTGACAAGCAGACATTTAAGAGAATACACTGAGCCTAAAAGCTTCAATGGCATGGAAATGCAATTAATGTTTCAAGTACCCAGGTAAAACCTAATCAGGTCAGGTTTCATGTTTAACTTCATTTTTCTTTCCTGCTCTGAAGGCTGCTGTGTGAGAGATTAACAATCTAGACACTGTCCTCAGTGTCTCTGTGAGCAGGAGAAAGTTTTGGTCAAATGGTATATCTTGTCTTGGTGTTCTGTTGGAGCAGAGAATATGACATCCTGAGAGGAATTGGATTTTCTGGTGTAAAATGTTATAGAGAAATCTATCTCTCTGATTATGTGCTATGTTTTTAATTCCTATGCGCTTGACAATTTATAGATCTTATTGTTTAATTCTCACAAGATGGGTATCTAGGCAGGTGCTCCTCCCACTTTATAGATGAGAAAACTAAGATGCTGAGAGAATGGCAGAATGGCAGAATTGTATGCAGTGCCAGGCTTCTTCTTGGGTCAGTGCTCTTTATACTGTCTTGGACTGCCACATGTGTCTTACTTTCTTGTCAGTCTCCACTAGTTCCTGAGATTGTGTTTGGCCAAGGTGATACACAAGAAAATTAGAAACAAAGTCGTGAGAAAAAGATTTATAGACCTTCAGGTGTTAGGGACTAGAAGTTTTGGAAGAAGAGGTTTTCTAAAAACCCAACGTGGCATCGCTGACTTGGGTAATTCTCTGGCATCATTGTTCTCCTTGAAGAGCTTCGGGCGAAAGTGGGCTCTATTTCAGCTCTTTTGGCATTGGAGGCAGATTCAAATCTTGTGTTTAATTTTCGTTTTTCCTCCTCAGATACCAGTGGGGAAAACATTGCAGAGTCCCTGGTTGCAGAGGGCTTGGCCACCCGGAGAGAAGGCATGAGAGCTATTAAGTAAGTCTTCTGACCCTCTGACTTCCTTCTTTTCCACTGTGAGAGCGGCAGTCACTCGAGGGAGGTTGGGTCACCTCTACATTGACTTTGCTGCATTTTCATTCTGGCCCCTGCGTTAAATGGGTAACTTCTGGTGCTCTCTGGCTTTTAGGACATTGCTGCCCAGGTGTGGATTATTCTAAGCTAGCAGGTTACTCAGCATTTGTTAGTGGCATTTAATAAGTATAACTCCTTTAAAAATAGGCTTTGAGACAAGGCAGCACTATTCTTAAGAGTCAACAGGCTGTGTCTTACACCTTAGATTGTCTGTTCTGGAGTATTATCCTTCCATCCCAAAAGATCCATTGAGCACTTACTATGTGCCAGGTTGGAGCAGTGACCAGACTTAGTTTCTGCTAACATTTTAATGGGGAGATAGACGATAAACCAATACAAATAGATATACAGTATGTCATATGCAAGGAATAGTGCAATGAAAAAGTGGAATGAATAAATAGAATTCAAAGCAAAGTCTGCTGCTTAGAATCTAGTGAAACTGACAAGGGCTCAATGGTTCTGTTTTAAAGTCAGGAAAAATTTGTCTGTCCAAAGCCATTTAAGTCTCTTTTAGTCTATGTATCTGTAGGTACTTAATAAGTAGTACGTCAGAATGTATTTGTTTAGCTAATGGCAGTGTGGACTTATTAGAAATGAGTGTTAGGTGTGTAAGCTTTATAGCTCATGTGTCATGTTCAAGTTCACCAGTGTTGGCTCTCAGTAGGATAGATCGCAGCTGGCTTTAATTAACACTTTAGTCTCCGAAAAGTGATATGCTACATCAGTAATTTGGAGGCCAAAGATGCTGTTTAAATCATTAATTCCTTGTTTTATTAGATGACTGTGATAGCTGAAGAAAAGGCTTTGGATAAACATTTGCATGGACTGTACCAATAACATACTGAACAAAGGCAAAAATGCACATTTTGCCTTCTTCCTGCCTTCATAGACTTGGGGTCCTCTTAGTCACCACATACTTCTGTGGTTCTTTCTACTTCAAATTGTTATTTGCTGGAGCCTGTAATCTAGGGTGTGAGCGTGTGGGAATTTGTTGAAGACATTTGTGTTAGGTGGGGTTTTTGGAAGTGTGCCGAAGTTGTATCTTAAGCACAGTTGCTGCCATGATTACCGTTGCACCGCTTTTTAGGAGTCCAGTTTGTAACCAGAATGAAGAATTAAAAAAAAGCCCATAGCGGTACTTACCATCTCAACAAGGAAATCTCCCTTGCCAGTTCTTTTTCTCCAAAGTTGTCTTGACTTAAAGCCTCATTTTCTCAGTTTTTATGATCGCTTCTCTCTCTTAAGCTACATTTTCCTGTTGGATTCTGGCTGTACTTTTGGATCCCTGAGGATGTGATTACCTTT